TGTAGTATACTGAGTGATCAGAATAGAAATGTTAATTTAGCCGACATCCCAGTTGTTAGTGAATTCCCCGACGTCTTCCTAAATGAATTGCCTGGCCACTTAGCCGATAAAGAACTAGAGTTCACTGTTGACATCATGTCGGGAACATAGCCGATCTCTAAAACACCCTACAGGATGGCCCCAGTTGAACTTAGGGAATTGAAACTGCAATTACAAGAATTGTTAGACAAGGGATTTATTAGGCCGAGCACTTCGCCATGGGGAGCACCTGTTTTATTTGTTAAGAAAAAGGATGGCACACTCCGTCTTTGTATCGATTATAGAGAACTTAATAATGTCACTATCAAGAACAAGTACCCATTACCTAGGATTGATGATTTGCTTGACCAATTACAAGGAGCACGAGTCTTTTCTAAGATTGACCTCAGGTCTGGTTATCACCAACTTAAAGTTAAAGCCGAAGATGTTGAGAAGACTGCTTTTCGGACAAGATCTGGCCACTACGAGCTTTTAGTAATGCCTTTTGGGGTGACCAATGCCCCTGCTGCATTTATGGATTTAATGAACAGAGTCTTCAAGCCATATTTAGATGAGTTTGTAGTTGTCTTCATTGATGATATATTGATCTATTCCAAGAGTAAAGCTGAACATGAAAATCGTTTGAGACTTGCCTTACAGACTTTGAGAGACCGAAAATTGTATGCTAAGCATAACAAGTGTGAGTTTTGGCTTCCTACTATCTCATTCTTGGGCCATGTGATTAATGAAGAGGGTATCTCGGTTGATCCTAGCAAAATTGAAGCCGTAGTAAATTGGCCGAGGCCGACTAATGTGTCCGAGATTCGTAGTTTTCTGGGTTTGGCAGGTTATTACAGGAAGTTTGTGAAAGATTTCTCAAGGATTGCAATTCCATTGACGCAATTGACTGAGAAGGGAACATTGTATGAATGGACTAAAGATCGGGAGTCAGCTTTCCAGGAACTGAAGACGAGATTAGTTACAGCACCAGTACTCGTACTTCCATCAGGTAATGAAGAGTTTCACATCAATAGTGATGCATCGCATAAGGGCTTGGGTTGTGTGTTAATGCAAGGGGGTAAGGTTATAGCTTATGCATCTCGTCAGTTAAAGCCACATGAAAGGAACTATCCCACCCATGATTTGGAGCTAGCCGCCGTCGTATTTGCTTTAAAGATTTGGCGTCACTACTTGTATGGGGCTTCTTGTCAGGTTTTTACAAATCATAAGAGTTTAAAGTACCTGTTCACTCAGAAGGAATTGAATTTGAGACAGAGAAGGTGGCTTGAGTTGTTGAAAGACTATGATATGCAAATTCAATATCACCCAGGTAAAGCTAACAGCGTGGCCGACGCTTTGAGCAGGAAGTCAGATGGAAATTTGGCGTGTTTGACCCTGATAGCAGTGGAGCCGACTATTGTTGACGAGGTCAAGACAAGAGAGATGGAGGATAAATTCTTCAAGAAAGTAGCCGAGGAGATTGTCACAAAGCCGAGATCAGGATACACCATTGAAAATCAAGTGCTTAAGTTCGAAGGAAGGTTATGTCTGGCCGACATCCCAGAATTGAAAAGGAAGATTTTGCAAGAAGCCCATAACTCCAAATTTGCCGTTCATCCAGGAAGCACCAAGATGTATCAAGATGTGAAGCGGACCTTCTGGTGGCCAAATATGAAAAGAGAAATAACCAAATTCGTGTCCCAGTGTTTGCATTGTCAACAAGTGAAAGCAGAACATCAAAGACAGGCAGGACTTCTTCAACCTTTGCTGATTCCTAAGTGGAAATGGGAACACATCTCCATGGATTTCATGGTGGGTTTGCCGAGGACGCAAAGAGGTATGGATTCAATTTGGGTTATCGTTGACAGGTTAACTAAGTCAGCACACTTCTTACCAGTTAAAACTACGTTCAATGCCGACCGACTTGCTGAACTGTATATGAATGAGATTATTAGACTTCACGGTGTGCCGATGTCCATTTTATCAGACCGAGATTCGAAGTTCGTTTCTGGATTTTGGCAGAGTCTGCATGGAGCCCTGGGAACTGAATTGAAGTTTAGCACAGCTTTTCATCCCCAGACTGATGGGCAAACAGAGAGAACCATTCAGACACTTGAGGATATGCTCAGAATGTGTGTATTAGATTTCAAGGGAAGTTGGGAATAGCATTTGCCATTAGTAGAATTCGCCTACAACAACAGTTATCAAGCCAGCATTAGAATGGCGCCGTACGAAGCCTTGTATGGAAGGGAGTGCAGCTCGCCGATATGTTGGACCGAGGTAGGAGACACAGCTTTGATTGGCCCCGAGTTAGTACGAGGAACGACCGAAAAGATTATGCTCATTCAGCAGAGAATTAGAACCGCGCAGAGTCGACAGAAGAGTTATGCCGACCAGAGGAGAAGGGAGCTGGAATTCGGGATTGGGGATCATGTATTTTTGAGGATCTCGCCGATGTCAGGAGTTTCAAGATTTGGAAAGA